TATATATAGATATATATTATCTATATATAGATATATACAGATATATATTAATATATATACAATATATATAATATATCTAATATATATTATATATATATAGATGCATGCATTGAAATGCATGCAAGAAAGGAGGCGGCGTCTTCATTTCTGTTGATGCAGCACCGTGGGGACAAAAAAAATCTGCTGCGCACTCGTTGCTGCTGCTGCTGCTGCTGCTGCTGTTGCTGTTGCTGCTGCATGCACTGGGGCTCTCAGGTCCCTCCCCCGCGCCACCCTTAGCTTGGCTAGGTAGCTAGCTAGATAGCTAGCTAGCAAGCTACTTAGCAGGCTCTCGTAATAACTAGCTAGCCAGCTATCCGGCGAGCTAGCTAGCTAGCCGTATACATAGCTAGCCAGCAAGCTAACTAGCTAGGTAGCTAGCTAGCCAGCTAGCTAGCTAGCTAGCTAGAGAGCTAGCTAGCTAGATAGCTAGCTAGGTAGCTAGCTAGCGATGCTTGAGTGTGGTGCCCCTGAAGGTGAGGGCCCCACGATAATAATCCAACAACGTCGAACGGCTCCAGACGGCTGCTGGCCGCACGTGAAGGGACGCCGCTAGCTAGCTAGCTAGCCAGCTAGCTAGCCAGCTAGCTAGCTAGCTAGCTAGCGAAATAGATAGATGATGAGCTAGCTAGTTAGCCAGGTATCCACCCTTGTAGCTATCCAGTTGTATTGTTAGCGAGGCAATTGTTCGTGTAGCTAGCTAGCTAGCTAGCTAGGGACATAGCTAGGCCTCCAGTTCGGTAAATATGTAGGTAGGTAGGTAACTAGCTAGCTAGCTAGCTATCTGAGCGTAGGTGTTTGAAGAGCAATCTCCTGAAGATCAAACGCTAAAGCTTGTGCTGGCAGCAGCTCTGCATATGCATCTCTGGCCGGTAGAAAGACCTCTTCAGCTGCGCTGAAAGGCGAAGGGCTTGCTGCTGTCGACGTATCACAAATCTCCTCCCCAGACACCCAACTTCGAGACACTGCATGCATGCATGCGCAGCAGCAGCAGCAGCAGAAGCAGCAGCAGCAGCAAAGCAGCAGCAGCAGCAAAGCAGCAGCACAGGCAGCAAGAGGAAGAGAAGCCAGGCATTAAAAGCATAAATAAATAAATAATGTATAATATATAAAATAATAAAATATTTGTTTGTCTTTGTTTATATAATTATTTATACACTTAATATAAAAATTTGTTTTTCTTTTGTCTTAATTTATAATAACTTTTAACAAAACAATATGCATATCAAACTCAAGCATTTGTTGTGTATATTTGCATGCAATTAAAGACAAAAGAATAATAATAATCTTTACTTACTTCTAGGGCTTTTAATTAATGCAGCAAGTCGTCTCTGTCTTACTGCTTCATATCTAGAAGCAGCGTTTAATACTTTGAACCTCCAGTCATATAAACTGCAGCCTAACTGTGCTGCGTCCTCCATATCCTAAAGAGAAGTAAAAATAAATTATATTTTAATTATAATTAATAATAATAAATAATAATAATTTAGCTTTATTTAGTACTTTGTTTTATTCATAAAGAATAAATAATACTTAAAAAAAATAAATAGTCATGAGAATAAATAAATAAATATGTAATATAATAACTTTGCTTTATTTTGATTTTTTGTTTTATTCTTCAAGATAAAATAATAAAGATATCAGAGGTATATATTTAATGCATTAATAATAATATAAATAAATCTAAAGACAACAACTTGTGTGGTTTTATTTAGCATTTTATTTTTATTCATCAAGAAGAAAGAAGCAGAAGAAAATATTAAAATAATACCTTATTATAAATAATAAAATAAATAAAAAACAAATAATATATTTAATAAAATAAATAAAAAGCAAATAAAATAGGATAAAGAATAAAATGAAAACAAACAAAAACAAAAGAATTAAATAAATTATAAAACAATTAAAAGAAGAAAAAGGATAAAATAAACAAAACAAAATAAAATAAAGAATAAATAAATAAAATAAATAAAATAAATAAAATAAATAAACAAAATAAATTAAAAAAATAACTAAAAGTATATTTACTAATTCCAGCCCATCAGATAAAGCAGAGGCCCAGGGATGCGCCTGCAGCAAACAGCAGCAGCAGCAGCAGCAGCAGCAGCAGCAGCAGCAAAGAAAAGCAAAAATTGAAAGCAAGTAAATTATTCTCCTCAGGTGTATCGACAGATAGAAATGGTGGCTCTTCGCTGCGGCACTCAGGCACCGGCAGCAGCAGGAGCAGCAACAGCAGCAGTAGCAACAGCGGCACCAGCAACAGCAGCAGCAACAGCAGCAACAGCAGCAGCAGCAGCAGCAGCAGTAACGCCACCACAATCACCACTAGCAGCCGCGGCAGCAACAGCAGCAGCACCACCCCTACCACCACAACCAACAGTAGAGGCAGCAGCAGCAACAGCAGCAGCAGCAGCAACAGCAGCAGCAGCAGCAGCAGCAGCAGAACTTACTGCTGCTGCAGTTAGAACAACTCTTCCGTCCATGAATACCCAGGAGGCCTCCGCGCCTCTCATTTCAATTCCTCGCTTTCGTATGCCATCGAGAAAAGCAGACAGAGAAGTCGTGCTCTGAGCATCAAACCCTAAACCCTAAACCCTAAACCCTAAACCCTAAACCCTAAACCCTAAACGATAAACTCCGGCACAAAGACTTTGAGCAAAGTTCGGCGCAAGCGGGGAAAATACGAAAGGGGATGACTCGTCTACAACAAGAACAAGCAGCAAAATCCTAAACCCTAAACCCTAAACCCTAAACCCTAAACCCTAAACCCTAAACCCTGATTCGCACTCGAGTAGTTAGCGAATCCTCGCAGGCTCCCTCGCCTTTGCCTTCCATAATCGAAGAAGTGTCTGTTGCTGGCGAGTCGCTTCCCGTCACCGTCTGCAAACATCAAACCCTAAACCCTAAACCCTAAACCCTAAACCTTAAACCCTAAACCCTAAACCCTAGACGTTAGCGGGTGCACGATAGACAGCAGGGTCACCGTGGATATGAGCTATTAACAGCAACACTGCAAAGAAGCATGTGCTGCTGTTGCTGCTGCTGCTGCTGCTGCTGTTGCTGCTGCTGCTGCTGCTGCTGCTGCTGAGGTGTCTGTACACCACAGGCTGCGCCTTACAGAGGTAGTTGTTGACCCCAAACTCGAGGCAAAGCGCTGCTCTGCTTCGCCGAGCAGCGAACCCTCCGCATTACTCTGCTGTCTGCAACCCAGCGAGAAGTTCAGCTCTGAGCTCTTCTGCAACTCGCTGCCTTCCCTGCAGCAGCAGCAGCAGCAGCAGCAACAGTAATAGCAATAGCGTAGGATACTTAACTGTGTTTATAGAAAGGAGACTGCGCAGCAGCAGCAGCAGCAGCAGCAGAGCAGTTTGCATTCAGCGTCAACACTAAGAGCAGCAAGAGCAGCAACAGCAGCACTTTCTGCTGCTGCTGCAGCTGCAGCAGCAGCAGCAGCAGCAGCAGATTAGCTTGCATTCTTACTGGACCCCAAGTAGGTGGGTGACTCCAAAGTCGTTCGAAGCGACGACGAGGAGATTTGTTTGAATTACAACGCCGCCTTCGAACCCAAGGAAGAGCTTCTGCTCTTCATTATTAGCATTTGGCTGCTGCTGCTCTTCACCCCAGATTTGCTGCAGCTGTCTGCAACCCCAGAGATAAGAAATACCTCCTCCTGAAGCTCTCGTTAGATGCTCAAGCAGCAACTGCTTCAACGCTGCAGCAGGAAGACGCATAGGGCTCTCCCCCGTCAGACTACAGGGAGAAAAAGGAGATAAAATAGAAGACTCATTCGCCCGAGTTGCTGCAATAACTGCACGATAAAGCTCTGAGTTAATTGCTCGTAAAGCATCCATACACCTGGCAGTTAGCAGACATGGTTCTTCTTCGCGCTTCTGCTGCTGCTGCTGATCATGCTGCTGCTGCTGCTGCTGCTGATGCTGATCATGCTGCTGCTCGTGCTGCTGCTGAATGTCTAATACACAGACGGCCCGCCCTGTACGCGTACGAATAGCAACTGCAGCAGCTAAGCCCCCCAATGAACCCCCTAAGACTACCACAGGCACTGTAGCTGGCTGAGCCTGCTGCAGCATCTCGCACTCTGAGAAGACCTCTGAGGCGTCGCCTGCAATAAGAGAGCTCCCGCTTCCTTTCTTCATTTTCTTTCTTTTCAAGAAAATAAACTAGTTAATCCTTCGAGGCGCCCAAGAGCACGTAGCAGCAAACAGACAGCCGAAGCACAATAAAACCGCTCTGATCCTGGGGGGGCCTTAATGAAGAAGCTAAATGAGAAAAGTATTCAGCAAACTGCAAAATAAAGAGAAAAAACACGAAAGGCTGTGAGGAGGAGGCGAGCTGTTTTCGGTGTAAACAGCAGCAAAACCAGGAGGAAGAGAGGATGTCAGGGAGAGTAAAAGATGCAGAAATATACTTTAGAAGTATACGCCCTTAAAGAAGAAGTTTTAAAGGGAGTTTTTCTTCAATTTCTGTCGTGATTACCAGCAAGCAAAAGACGCAGAACCTCAACGGCAGCAGCACCTGGACTATATAAAGAGGTTTAGAAAACCTCTTTGGAGTAAAAACGTCTGAATAGAGATACAGAAAGGAGATAAACCTCAAAAACTCCTGAAATAAATCCAAAGAAACTTGAATGAAGCAGAAGAAGTAAAATAATACCCTGAAACCGAGAGCACCCGTATTGTACGAAATGAGGTTTCTGTTTAGAATATACACTGCAGGGCCATTGACACTGCTGGAAATACCGTATTTAATTGATAGGCATTGAATAATTTAATATTTTTACCGAGAAAGCAGTAAAAAATACACCTATTTGCACCAGAGAAACAGCAAAAATTGCAAGTATATCTGCCGAGAGCCACTGCCGCTGCCCCTTGAACGAAAAAACGCAGATTCAGCAGTAAATTATGAGATCTCCCCGCCTCAATTTATATTAATTTCATCAGACGAAGCCAAAGAAACAAATGAGACGGTAAAAATAGAAAATTATTCATGAAAACATCTGAGAAACTGCAGCTTTCTATACGCTCACGACGTATACCTGTCTGAGGCATAGCAGCTGCGCGGTGAGGGCGCAGCAGCTTACCACCAGCTTTTCGGTGCGTAAAACAACCTTAAAAGGTTGAAATAATTTTTTTTTAATTAAGTTTAAGTTTTTTTCTAAAGTATTTTTATAAATTTACAGAAATATACACCAAATAGCACTCCTTTAGACACCCCCTAATTAAACCCGTGCATCATTCATTCATTATTCAACATTCACTGGTCGCGCCGACCGGACCACCGACTTTTATCCGTGAAATTTTGAATAAATTGCTAGAAATATAATTAATTAACGCATTATTAATTATTTATTTCTTACTGAAAAAGTTTCTATCACCTATTTCAGCTTCGTACAGATACAGCGCAGCAACACAAACCGTGCAGCAAGTCTTCCCTAATAACTCCAGCACGGGTACAAAGTAATATATTTAGAGAAACATCTTCACACGCTGCTTTAATGCACATTTAAAATTAAATTAATTTGAAATCAACGAAGAAAAAACAGAAAAAAATAGACAGAAAATCACCAACAGACAGCAGCACTTCATTATATTCAAGGGGGAGAGCGAAGGCGACTTAACAAAGGGCGTCTAAAGCTGCAATAGAGTTGAAATACATAAATAATATATAATAATATTATATAAATAATATTATATAATATAATTTTGATAATATTATTTTGTAGAAATAATATTTTAATAACTTTTCAGTCTCCAAAAGACCTGGGTGTGATGCCTGTGTGGGGAGAGGAGACAGCAGATTCTGTAAACACTGCTGCAGCAGCACAACTTCGTGCTGCAGCTTCTGCTGCAGCTGAAGCAATTGCTGCTGCAGCCGTTGATGCTAGTTATGCATGCACCCCACAGATAAAAATAATAAGAAAGCCAGGCAAGCCGCCTGTTGATGATGGTGGGTGCATTAATAAAACTGCATGCCATTAATATTATACACTTCCTTCTCCCTCAGTTGCTAAGCTGCAGCTACGTATAAATATAGAAAATTAAATAGAATAGGAAGTCTATACACAGTTGAAGCCAAGCTGAGTTGACTGCTGCATAACAAGTCAGATCCTTCAACTGCCAGATAGCTGCAGAGAGCTGGGGCTAGCTGAGGACTGTATGTAGCTGTGGCTAGCTGTGTAGCTAGCTGTAGTTAGCTGCAGCTAGCTATAGCTAGATGTAGCTAGCTGCAATTAGTCTAATGAGAAGAAAGCTGCCCCTGTTAGATATCCGTTTGAATTTTCTTCAGTTACTCCAACGGTGTTATTTGTCTGTTATCTATTTACATTTAGCTATTTCTTATATTTATTCATTTATGTTTAATTATTTATTTGTATGTATTTATTTATTTATTCTTAGTTATTTACTTAAGGGCATTTAACTACTGTTTATGGTGATGGGCTGCCTTCATCGTTTCAAAGAGGGTGTAGGGTTTAGGGTTTAGGGTTTAATCCTAAACCCTAAACCCTAAACCCTAAACCACCGGCCCTCCTCAGCAGCAGGTGAGTGATCTCTGCTGCGGTTTGACAGGTTTAGACGATGGGTATGGAGCTGCATATACACCTGAATAGCAATTGAGGTGCATGTGCAGCTCGTTAGAGCAGACTTTGAATAAAAAAGTAAGAAATCAGTTAAGATTAAAACAAAAGAAGAAAAAAGTAAATAAAAGAATTAATATACCCCTGAGAAGAACAAGCGACCTCAGCGGACGACATAAATAAAACGAACAAACAAACAAACAAACAAACAAACAAACAAAAACAAATAAATATTAGAAAAATAAATATTAAAGAAGAAGCCATGCAAAAAGAATATTTTTGCTGCTTTTCTTCTTCTGAACAACCTGTTTTCTATGTAGATCTCTATATCTTTATTACTATATTTTATATAATTACTCTGTTATTATATATATATATATATATATTTATGTATTAAGTACATTTACACCATTCTTATTACATTTATATAATTATACTCTTATCATTGTGTTATATATCTTTATATCTTTATATCTTTATTATATTTTTAAAATAGCTTTTACCTTATTATTATATTTTAAGTTCTTATATGCTTATAGTTGCATTGTATTATTATATTATTATATTATTATATTATATTACATTATATATCTTTATATCCTTGTTGTTCTATTCTATTAATTATATCCTAATTTATTATCTAATATGTATAATTATCTCATTCTTATTGTATTATATAAAAATATATTCCTATTCTTATATTTTATATATTTTTATATTGATTATATCACGTATGTATATATATATATATCTATATATATATGCATATATATGCATATATATATATGTATGCATATACATATATATATATGTATACATATATATATATATATATGTATGTATGTATATTAATTATTATTTTATATATACTTACGTCCAAGAATAGTCAGTTACACCGTTAATTTTTATAGTATATATAATAATATCATAATTATTATGTTAAATATAATAATATAATAATTTTAATAGCCTTATATATAAATATATAATATTTATTATATCATATATCCTTATATCTTGTATTCTTTTTCATAACTAGTGATGTCTCTACCTCTCTCTTCTGCGTTGTTATTCAAATATTTTGTTTAATAATTTTAGATAATCAAAATAAATTAAATAAATAAATAATATACAAAGAAAAACAAACAAAAATTCTGCTGCATGCATGCATGCATGCAGCCCCAAGCCTCCTGCTGCATGTTGCTGCGTTTGTGTGTCTGAGTTTAAAAGAGGTGAAAAGGCATGAAAAAAGCTAAAAATATATATAATTTATTCTTTTATTATAAACAAATGCAAATAAAATTAGTATATAACCCGCAATCATGTCTTCAGAGGGCTTCTCTGTCTTATATAATCAGCAGCAGCCTCCGCTGCTGCTGCTAGCAGCAGCACAGCTGCAGGGCATCTCTTCTAAACTTCTTCAGTTCTGTGCAGTCCCAGACTTTCAGCCCTCTGGGTTCGTCCTTCTACGCAAGCAGCAGCAGCAGCAGCAGCAGCAGCAGCAGCAACAGGGAGGGGTAGAGGCTTCTGAGGTTCTTCTTCCGGAGTACGAAGCTGCAAAGCGTATCGCCTCCATCACAGCCCAGGGACAGACAGTGAGCAGCACCTCTATCAGCAGCAGCAGCAGCAGCAGCAACATCAGCAGCAGCAGCAGCAGCAAGAGATGATCCGTCTTTGCTGCAGCATATGCAGCATCTTTGTGTTTGTTCTTGCTCTTTTCTGACGCTTTAATTACCTCAGGGTCTTCCGCAATCATTGTCTCTCGTGCTGCTTGTGCTGCTGCTGCTGTTGCTGCTGCTGCTGCTGCTGCTGCTGCTGATGTGTGTTTGCTGCAGCTTCTGCCTGATGCTGAAGGCGAAGCACTATTATTTGCTTTGCTGTCTCTCTTATCGGGTGTACCTTATTCGGGGTGTCTGTACAGCTCAGGGCCTTTAAAAGAAGCAGCATTAAAAAAAATGAACAGTTATTTATCTCTTCGAACTTTTCTTGTTTCTTCGCGTTTGTCTATTGTAGATATTGGGGTGTATGTACACCTCCGAGCAGCAGCAGAGACTGAAGCTGCTGCGAAGCAAATTCACAACTGGTATTATATATTAACACAAAATCAAAGAGTCACTGCATCCTTCTGCTGCACCAAATCCTGCTGCTGCTGCTGCTGCTGCTGCTGCTGTTGCTGCTGCTGCAGGGGTTGTTGCTGTTGTTGTACGAGTGGTAGGCACACCGAGTTGCTGCTGCAGCTTCAGCAGCAGCAACTGGGTGTGCAGACCCTTCGCCACAACAGCATCAACAGCAGCAGCAGCAGCAGCAGCAGCAGCACGAGCATCAGCACCAGCACCAGTACTAGCACCAGCATCAGCAGCACCAACATGAGCAGCAGCAGCATCAGCAGCATTAATATATATGCTTGTGTTGCTGCGTAAAGGATATCTGCATATCCCTCTGTGCACCGATGGTTTACATATATTAACGGGGTTAAAGAAATACGAGGAGCAGTCGAACGGGCGCTGAAGCAAAAAGCTCTAGGACCCAGACCTACTGCTGCTGCTGCTGCTGCTGCTGCTGGATCTGGAGCAGCAGGGAATACAGCAGCAGCAAATGGGAAGGCTAAGGCGCAGACACAGGCGTCTTACGAAGGTGAGCGAAGAGGCAATGCGTGCAGCAGCAGCAGAAGCAGAAACAGCAGCAGTAGCTGCTGCTGCTGTTGCTGCTGCAGCTGCAGCTGCTGCTGCATTGCTTTGCGTTTGTGCGTGGTGACGTTTTGTTGGTCTTTGAATTTTTTTTGACGCAATCAAATAAATAAAATAAATAAATTAAATAAATTAAATAAATTAAATAAATTAAATAAATAAATAAAATAAATTAAACAAACAACTAAATAAATAAATAAATAAATAATATGTTTATTGATTTATTATGTCTATAGGAAAGTTAGAGGGCGCTGTAGAGGGCCGCGTAGTAACTCGTTTCCCACCCGAGCCTTCAGGCTATTTGCACATAGGGCATGCGAAAGCAGCATTATTAAATTATTATTTTAAACAAAAGTATAATGGGAGGATGATATTCAGGTCAGCAGACACTTCAATCCGGTACCAGCTGTATATACACCTCATTCTATATATATATAATATATATTTATTTATTTATTTTACTTTCAATGCATGCACGCATGCTGCTCTTTTTATTTGTTTGTTTTAATGTTTTTATAAGGAATATAATATTGTGGTTTTGTCGGCATACAATCCACAGCAATAACGCTATGCTGCTGCTGCTGTGGATGCTGCTGCTGCTGTGGATGCTGCTGCTGCTGCTGTGGATGCTGCTGCTGCTGCTGTGGATGCTGCTGCTGCTGATGCAAGCAAGAACAATAGTGTGTTACTGCAGCAGCATCATCAGCAGCATCAGCATCATCAGCAGCAGCAGAGTGAGCAGCAGGAGCACATTTCCCGGCTGAGCAATTGAATTGACTTAGTTAAATGATTATATGCATGCATGCATGCATGCATGCAGGTTTGATGATACAAACCCGAACAAAGAAAACATTGAGTTTGAAGAAAGCATCATCGAAGACACGAAACGCCTCGGAGTGCAGTGGGATCAACTTTGTTATACTTCCGATTATATACCCCGACTCATTGATGCATGCACATCTCTCATTCAAAAAGGTAAACTCCTGCTGCTGCTGCTGCTCCTGCTGCTTATGTTGCTGCTGATGCTGATGGTGCTGATGCTGCTGGTGCTGCTGATGCTGCTGATGCTGATGCCGATGCTGCTACTGATGCTAATGCTACTGATGCTGATGCTGATGCTGATGCTGCTGATATTGTTGTTGTTGCTGCTGCTGCTGATATTCTTGCTGCTGCTGCTGTTGATATTTTTGCTGATACTGCTGATATTGTTGCTGATACTGTTGCTGATATTGTTGCTGGTGCTGTATCTACTGTTGGTGCTGCTGCTGCTGTTGCTGCTGCTGCTGTTGTTATTTGTTGCTTGAAGGTTTATTTTACGTTGATGATACACCCAAGGACGAAATGAGAGAACAGCGTAGTAAAGGGGTACAATCAGCATCAAGAGACAACTCAGTAGAAGAAAATTTGCGACGATGGATAGAGATGCAGCAGGTAATGAAGCATAAATAATATTTTGAACGTCTTTTTATCTTTTTAATATTTTTGTTTTCGGCTTTACGCCTATGTTTAATATTTATACTTTCTTTATTCTCATCATTAGCCGTTTGGAGTCGCTGATGCTGATGCTGATGCTGCTCTATCTGCTGCTGCTGCTGCTGCTGCTGCTACTGCTACTGCTCCCTGCTGCTTTATCTGCTGCTGCTGCTTCCTGCTGCTTTATCTGCTGCTACTGCTTCCTGCTGCTTCATATGCTGCTGCTGCTGCTGCTGTTTGATATGCTGCGTGATAGGGTAGCGAAGAAGGTGTTCGTTGCTGCGTGCGGGCGAAGATGTGTGTAGACAGCAACAACAAATGTTTGAGAGACCCGGTGATGTTTAGGTGTATTGTTGAAGTTTCGCATCATAGATTAAAAGATACCTTTAAAGTTTATCCTACTTATGACTTCGCCTGCCCTGTTGTAGATGCTTGGATGGGTGTAACGCATGCATTACGAACGAATGAATATGCAGATAGAATACCGCAATATCATTGGGTAAGACTCAAAGTTTATATATATATAAATATATATATATATATATATATATATATTTATTTATTTATTCGTAAGAATCAGTTGATGTTTATATAGTTTTCTACTTCATCTTTGATTATGTTATTTATTTATTCGTAAGAATCAGTTGATGTTTATATAGTTTTCTACTTCATCTTTGATTATGTCGGTAAATATTTACTTTTCAATCTTTAACTTACTCTTATCCTTCTTATCTCCCTTCTACTCACCATCTCTTCTTTTTTGTATAAGGGTTTAGGGTTTAGGGTTTAGGGTTTAGGGTTTAGGGTTTAGGGTTTAGGGTTTAGGGTTTAGGGTTTATATCATTTCCTTCCTAGTCTTTGCCTCCTCATTCATTTTATTTTTTAATTTTATTCCTAAGTGCAAATATATATATTTATTTTTTTTATCGTTATGCATATCCTTTTGAATGATCTATTTATGTATATCTACGTATATGTATATGTATGTATATATATATTATCTACATTTATATCTGTTTATATAGATTATTTATTTATTTATTTATTTATTTATTTATTTATTTATTTATTTATGCATTTTCGGATATATTTATGTACTGATTTTTAACTTACTGATTAATTTGATTGATTAATTGTATATATATATATATTTAAACAAATTAATTAATT